AATCATGGCCCAGCCAAGTTGACACATAATCTTAACCATCACACCTTGGGAGAGGTGACTTTCTTCAACTGAGGGCAAGTCCCAGAGAGGGACTGAGCCATCAGCTGCAAACATCCACAGCCGCTGGGGTAATGTGTGCTTCAGTCCTGAAGGGGGCATCTGGGTGGCACACCAGAGCATCAATTACATGTAGTGTAAGTTAAAGTATTTGCTATATTTCAACCAACAGAAAGCACTTCATTCTGTTTAATATTTTTGATCTAATGAAGTAATTTTGATGTCCCTTTCAGCACATTAAATAGAATTTTATCTGTACTGGATAACCTCGGTCAAGCCATCTAATCTCTGCTTTTGTAGAATAAAGATGATAATTCCGACCTACTTGCCAAAGATACTGTCAGAAACTGGACAATTAAATAACACCTGGTGACTTAGTTATCTAGTGCTGCTATAAAGAAATACCACAAGTAAGTGACTTTAAGAAATAGAAATTTGTTTTCTCACAGTTTAGGAGGCTAGAAGTCTGAATTCAGGGTGCCAGCTCTAGAGGAAGGCTTTCTCTCTCTGCTCGCTCTGGAAGAAGGTCCTTGTCTCTTTGAACTTCTTTTCCTGGGAGATCTTCATGTGGCTTGGCACCTCTCTTCCCCCATCTCTGCTTCTTTCAATTGCTTGTTTAATCTCTTTTATATCTCAAAAGAGATTAATTTAAGACACATCCTACGGTAATCCTGTCTCATTATCATAACAAAGAAAACCCATTCCCAAATGGGATTATAACTACAGGCATAGAGGTTAGAATTTGCAGCGCATATTTTGGGGGGACACAATTCAATTCATAACATTTCACCCTTTGGCCCCCTCAAATTCATATCCTTGCCACATGCAAAACACATTCACCCCATCACATCACCCCAAAAGTCTTAAATCCACTCCAAGTCCAAAATCTCATCTTCTGAATCATCTAAATCAAATATGAGTGAGACTTTAGGTGTGTTCCATCCTGGGGCAAAATTTCTCTTCATCTGTGAACTGTGAAATCTAGACTATAAGTTATCTGTTTCCTAAGTACAGTGGTGGGACAGGCACAAAGTAGACATTTCCATTGCAAATGGGAGAGATTGGAGGGAAAGAAGGGATAACAGACACCAAACTAGTCCAAAACCCAGCAGAATACATTATATTAGCTCTCAAGCCTTGAAAATAATTCTTTCCTCTCTGAGACCATCTAGGCAATGGCCCTGCCCTCCAGACTCTGGGTGTTGGCCATGTCCTCTGGATTCTGGGTGTAGGCCCCTCAGCTCTGGGCTTCAGCTTTGCCTTCAGGCCAACTGGGACGGCAACTCGGCTCCCTTGGCTTTAGGTGACCCTATTCTCCTAATCCACCTGAGTGGAGAACCCACCCTCTTGGCCTCAGCAGGCCCCATTCTTCTGCCCCTTGGGCATGATAGCCTCGCCTCCTCAGTTTTGGGCGGCAGCCTCATTCGCCTTGCACACCTTAATGGCAGCCCCACACTCTGGAACTGAGTTGGCGAAGATCTGACTCATTGAAACCTAGGAGTCTGTGACCCTATCCTTTGAGATTCAGGAGACCATGGCTGCACACTTTGAACCTACTTCCCATGCTCCTTCCAACAGTTTTGCTGATCTCCGCCGAGCTGCTCCAGGGATGATCCTTTCCTTTTCTTGGAGGACAACAGATGTAGCTCCTTTGGTCTGTTTCCTGCCTGTAGAATTCCAAGAGGCAGACAGCGGTTTTTTCCTTTTGTTCTCTGTCCCCTTCAGTATAAGCTGATGGGTTTTCTGCTGTGGTAGTTGGTTAGATCCATCAGACACAGGCTTAATCTCTTTAACAAAAGATTATGTAGCCACATCCTAGGTGAAAATTCTAGGACATGTGTCCTTAGCTTGTACAACAGAATTTTCTAAATCTTTAAGTTTTGTTTTCATTTTGCACAGTTCATTTTTAAGTCCATCTCTTTCCTCTCACATTTTACTATAAGTGGCAAAGAGAAACCACACAACCCCTTTAAGATCTTGCTTAGAAATCTCATCAGCCAGATATCCAAGTTCATCACTTATGAGTTCTACCTTCCACCAAACATTTGAACATAATTCAGACAAGTTCTTTGCCACTGCATAAAAGCATTGCCTTTCTTCCATTGCCCAATCACATGTTCATCATTGTCTTTTAAAGTCTCACTAGAAGCACATCTAATGTCCACATTTCTAGCAACATTCTGTTGCTGGCACCATATGTATTCTCTAAGACGATGGGGACCTTCTCTATAGCTCTCCTCACTTCCTTCTGAGCCCTCACCAGAATTGCTTTTGATGTCCATAATTCTACCAACAGTCTCTTCAAGGCAATCTATACTTTTACTATTAGGCACCTTAAAACTTTTCCAGCCTCTACCCATTACCCAATTCCAAAACCACTTCCACATTTTAGGTATTTGTTAGAGCAGCACCCCCACTTCTCGGTACCAAACTCTGACTTAGTTATCTAGTGCTTTTATAACAGAAATACCACAAGTGGATGGCTTTAACAAACAGAAATTTGTTTTCTCACATTTTAGGAGTCTAGAAGTCTCAATTCAGGGTGCCGGCTCTAGGGGAAGGCTTTCTGTCTCTGCCGGCTCTGGAGGAAGTTCCTTATTTCTTTGAGAATCTGCTCCTGGGAGATCTTCATGTGGTTTGGCATCTCTCTTCCCCTATCTCTGCTTCTTTTGTTTGTTTGTTTAATCTCTTTTATATCTCAAAAGAGATCGACTTAAGGCACACCCTACACTAATCCTGTCTCATTAACATAACAAAGAATACCCATTCCCAAATGGGATTATAACTACAGGCATAGAGGTTAGGATTTACAAAACATATTTTTTGGGGACACAATTCAATCCATAACACCCACCCAATGGACCTGTTACTGAACTAATTTGATGAAACTGATTGATATTTAATGGTGTAGCCAAACATAGGGAGTGAGAGGTCTTGGGTTCTAGTTTCTTTTTCTAAACCCAACTCTTGCCTTGTCAACGCTCTCTAGCAGGCCATTTTCCCGTTATATAATGGGTGATTATGAACCAACCAAACCAAATCCACTGCTGTCGAGTCGATTCCAACTCATAGTGACCCCATAGGGTTTCCAAGGCTGTAAATCTCTACAGAAGCAGACTGCCACATCTTTCTCCTGCAGAAAGGCTGTTGGTTTAGAACCGCCAACCTTTCAGTTAGCAGTCGAATGCTTTAACCACTGCACCACCAGGGCTTCTTGATTATGAACCAGTGAGGCTGAATTCCTTGTGTGGCTCATAAACTGGCTCCAGGAATCTCCCTGGAGGATTCTAAGCAAGGGCTGAGCATCAGAATACATGTAGAGCCTCTTAGGGTAATTATTTGGAAGGAGCTAATAGTCATTTGAAAACTCAAGTTATGCTGTGTTGTAGGGTGTGTGTGTGTGGTGTGTTTAAATTAACCTCAAAACTTATTAGTTACATCTTAAAGAAAATAAAGGGTACCAGCTCTAGTTCAAAGGGAAAACTTTCTGGGGTTATTTAACAAGTGTAAAGAAGGTTTTTGCAAATAGATGAAGCAATATGTAAACGCCAAAGACCAGTCATTGAATATAGTTAAGCACACTTAGTTCCTGAGATTAAGGGTTCCATATAAGCATGTATAATTAATATTTACAAATGGCAATAGGACCTTTGCCTTTCTTCAAGGAGCTCAGAATACTTGCCAGCCATTAGCTAATTAAACTACTCAATGTACCTGTGAAATGCATTGGAATCTACATTTTCAAGATGTGGGCACTGAAGCACAAGTGGGCTTAAACTAAACTCATTTAGCATGCCAAGGGCGAAATTGGATATAAGGCTTTCAGTCTCGTGATCTAGCTGCCATTCTTCAACTGTGGCCCCCTCTAATCCACTCTATTCTAGCATAGCCTTGCCAAACAACATAGTTTCATAAGTCTGGGAAGAATTAAATTGATTGAAAAGTAATTCCAATTATAGGGAAATTAAATTTTTTAAAGTTAAACATATCACCCATAATATAAGTAGGATTTATAGGTGAGTGTGACTTAGTGCCATTCAATGTCTATAATGGCCTCGGTAAGGATGGGAGCAGTTGGTAAAAATCTATTGGAGTGTATGTTTGTAGGGAGTGAGCGATAAAAAACAACCGTGGCTTCACCCTTCAGCCAAAGATTAGACAGGTCCATAAAACAAAATGAGACTAAATGGGCACACCAGTCCAGGAGCAAGGACAGAAAGGTAGGAGGGGCCAGGAAAGCTGGTAACGGGGAACCCAAGGTAGAGAAGGGGAGAGTGCTGACATGTCATGGGGTTGGCAACCAATGTCACAAAAGAATATGCATATTAATTGTTTAATGAGAAACTAATTTGCTCTGTAAATCTTCATCTAAAGTACAATAAAAAAACCAAACCAAAAGGAAACAAAAAAACAGTGGCTATGGGAATATCTTCCATACTCTCCTTTTAACCTTCTTATTCTTAGGTATAATAATACTATTGTTTATTGAGTGCTATGTGCTAAGCCCATTATATAAATTGTCATCTTCAATCCTTGCTACCACCCCATGAAGTACATATTATTACCTCTATTTTATGAATGAGGCAGAGAGAGGTTGTGTAATTTTCCCAAGGGCATACAGCTAGCAACTGGTGGAGTTAGGCTATAAATCTAGATCTTCATTATGCCACCTCCCATTTGTTATACTTGTTTTTGTCCTGTCTAGTATTAGACACTGCACCCTGTAGGCTCATCTCTCTTGTGCCCGTACCCAGCTCAGGGTCCCTGAACATATCTCGGCTTAGGCTCAGGATCTCAGCATCTTGCTCATCTTGGAGGCGTAAGGTAGAAATCATTTAAAAATTGGTTATAACACATTTATTTATTTCTCACAATCTGTAGTTTTGGGTACTGTCTTTTACTAACATATTGTTGCCATAATCTCCCTGTTTTGTTGGTTTCAGTAATCATCATGTGCATGCATTCAGCCTTGATTGGGGGAGAGACTCAGAAGCGTCTTTTGGAATGGGCTCATGATCTGAAAATGACCGATGGAACCTATGCGTTTGTTCCCTGTGATGCCATGCTCTACAGTTTACCTTATAAGCACACCCCCTACCAGGTCCTGAGGAACAACCTAAAGCTCCAGGAGGCCTATGACGCTGTGTTGACCATTACAGTGGAGTCCCATGAAAAGACCTTCTATCAAGCTTACACAGAGGCAGCATCTAGAGGTGAAATTCCTGAGCAGCTGGAGGCAGATCAGGTAAGTGCAGATTCACAAGTTATCATGAAAAGAGAACCTCAAAACTCAGGGAGGTAAATCTTTTTCCTATCAAGAGCCTCTATTCCATAGAAAACTCAATCAATAGCAGGCACACCAATCAGAAATACCTCTAAAACAAAGACATCCTGTTGGAGTTTTTTTTTTCCATTTTCAAGCAACCCCCAATGAAGGACAACATATAGTCAAGAAGAATAGTTGAAATGTACTGTATTTAAGAATGGGGAAACAAAACTTTAATATATACTGGTGCTATTCAAAGGAGCCCTGGTGGTGCAGTGGTTACAGTGCTTGGCTGCTAACCGAAAGGTTGGCAGTTTGAATCTGCTAGCCACTCAGCGGGAGAAAGATGTGGCAGTCTGCTTCTGTAAAGATTACAGCCTTGGAAACCCTATGGGACAGTTCTACTCTGTCCTATAAGGTCGCCGTGAGTCAGAATTGACTCGAAGGCAGTGAGTTTTTGGTTGGTGCTATTCAAGGGGGCCTAATAAAAAGAAGTCCTCTTTCTGACCCAAGTTCTGAACCAATTCAGCAATAAGACAAAAGAGTTGGTATACAAGAAAATATCACCTTTATTATTAAAAAAATGTTATTAGAGAATGCTCCTTCTATCTATAGACATTTGAGCTTCCCAATACTGAGTTGAGGAATAAACAGACTTCACCTAGTCACCAGCATTGCTAAACGACTGTAGTCCTCCCCCATGGGGCAGACCTTTTGTAAGATTTACAGCTTGGAACCATAGCAGAGCACATGTTCCCTGTAGGTAGCTCATTCCTAAGAGAAAGAAGATAGAAGGGGGCTGGACTACACATGCTTAATTCTCCTTCCAAACTGACCAGTCAGATTCAGTCACTCCTCCTGTGTGGGGAGGAATGAGTAAGCAGATGAAGAGATGCCAGGAGTTTTTTGCTAGTAGAGCTACCTCTATATGGAAGGAATCACTAGGAATGGGGAAGAATACAAATAGTATTTATATATATGTGGACGCATGTATGTATAGACATACGTCAGATTCAAATCACAGTCACTTAAGGGCTAGAGGAAGAAAAAGGAGAGCAAGGACAAAAACAAAGAGGAAGAGTACAAAGAAGACAAGGAATATGAGAAGAAGATGAGGAGACAAAGGTAGTCAGATATATTAGGAAAAAATACAAATTAGAAAAATACAGAGGGAGGCTTCTATAGGTTGAAGGCCAGATGTAGAAAGCAGACATTTTCAGAAGTACTTAGAATAACACATAAATTAGTTTAAAAGTTCTAGCATTTGTTAGCATACTGTATTAGTTTTAATGCTTCTGGCTGCAGGAATGGACACCTCAATACAAAATGGCCTAAGCAATAATTTTGTTTTTAATTTGAAGGTAAGGGGGTGCTCCTAGTGAAGTTCCAAGGGTGATTAATTCAGGAGCTCAATGATGTCATCAACAAACAGGTTCTTTTAATCTTTCCACTTTTTAAGTCATAGCATGCTGGCTTGCCCTAGTGAGCTGGTTCTCATGGTCTGAAGATGGCTGCCACAGTTCTAGACATCACATACAGGTAGAAATGTCCAGAAGCAAAAATCAGGAATGCCCCTCTCTTGTATCTCTTTTTAAGAATGAGGAAATCTTTCCCAGAAGCTCCCTAAACAGACTTCACCCCTCCAATCTTCTTGTCCACAATTGCGTCTGATACCCATGCCTAAACCAATAATTTGGAAAGAGGAATGAGACCACTATGATTGATCCTCTGGATGCTGGAAAAGCATAAACAAAATTGAGATTCTATTGCAATGAAGAAGACTTTCAGGTAGGCAGCTGACACTCACATTCTACATGATATTCTCCTTTTTATCCACCCTTTATTTATTTATCCTTTGGGATGCTTCTCTCTCTGAATAAGTGGTTGAGATGCAACTTAGGTTTACTTATGTCTTTATGTCCAGAGAATTAATAGCAAATCTTTTGCTGATTCTTTTTCAAATAAAAAAAGTGACTAGCAGAGCTATTATCAGTGTTGAATTTGAACTTTATTACCACCGATACTAGCATACGTTTATAATAAACATCTCTCTTTTAGGGGACACACACACACACACACACACTTAAATCAAAACAACTAGTCAACTTAGCTAAGAATTGCAAGAATCCCACAAATTGCTAATAATGGTTAGTCAAACGAGTTGTTTAGTGTTGTATATTCAGAGGGTGAATTTTGTACTTTTTAGCTAATAGTATGACATCATATAGATACACTCTAAGTCATTTTTCTACTTTAATCACAGGGTTGAGGGAATGATGAAGGTGTGTGTGTGTGTGTATTGTACATATAAAAGAGCAAATATAGTGATTAAAAAATACAGACCTTTTACCCTTAATATTTGATCCCATCCCTTTGAGTTTGTGGAGAACATACGGTAATTAAGGCAAAAAAGATGCCATTAGCTTGGTTGCTAGGCAGCCTGTACTCTGCTTTAGACAAGAAAATACAGCTAAAATGAAGAATCCAGAGCTTATAAAAAAGCCTGTTTGGATGCATTTCTTTCCCTGCTTTACAGGTGCCTAGGCTAGACCTTCATAACCAAAGAGTGGTAGACGGTGAAACAATTGTCTTCATATCTCTGACAAACACCCTCCCTTTTCTTCCTAAATTACCTTGCCAAAAGAAATTTTTTAAGGCAGCTGATGTAACAGACATAGCATATGACAAGAAGTTAGGCAAACTTGGTTTTAAATTTCAGCTCTGACTCTTATTAGCTGTGTGACCTTGGGCAAGTTACTTAGACTTTTTGAGTCTTGGTTTCCTTATCTGTAAAATGGGTTAGTGATCTATATATTTTAGGATTATAGTGATGATTAAACAATGCAAAATGTTTAAAGTGACTAGTAGAGTGCCTGGCATACAGATACTTTCTTTTCCACTTTTTCTCCTTTGGGGCCAGGATAACCTTATTGGTGACATCACACTGGTAGCTCAAAATCAGGCATTCTGGGAGTATTTACACCACAGAAATTGGCAAATGCTACAAATCAAAGTGCCCCCCCGCCCCCCCACCAGAGAGATGTTGTTAAACATTTACTGGCACATCACTTGTTCTGCCCTCATGGGGCTTAAATTCTAGTGAGAGAGATAATAAGTAAACAAATGCATTATCAAGATGGCCTCTCTCCTACCCTTCCTTAGAGAACTACTTTTATCTCTTTTAGTTCTTTATTATGTATTTACCTCTATGTTTCTAAATACCATACTGCTACTGGTATCTCCTGACTAATCAATTTTTGACATTATTTGTTGGCTTCCTATTACAGAGGGGAGTCCTGGTGACCTAGTGGTTAAGAGATAGGGCTACTAACCAAAAGCTCCACAGTTCAAATCCACCAGCTACTCCTTGGAAACCCTATGGAGCAGTACTACTCTGTCCTATAGGGTCGCTATGAGTCAGAATCTACTCAAGGGTAACAAGTTTTTTTTTTTTAAATTATAGAGGGGGAGGTTTGTTAGCTATTTTATACTCCCTTACCCTCCTTCAAACCCTCAATATAGTTAATCACAATTTTAATTAATTCCATATTCAGTATTTTTAAGTGTAAGTGGTTAAGAGCTCAGGCTGCTAACCAAAAGGTCGGCAGTTCAAATCTACCAGCTGCTACTTGGAAACCCTATGGGGCAGTTCTACTCTGTCCTATAGGGTCGCTATGAATTGGAATTGACTTAATGGCCCCTGGTTTATTTTGTTTTTTTGGTATTTAAATATCATTCATTGCTGAGTCATATAGTATACTATGATTACAATTCATTTCATGTATAACTTTGGATTTTTCCTGGAGTTAGTAATTGCTTTATCTTTTATTTGCTTACCTTAATTTGAATTTCTAAGTCTTTCCACACCTTCTGAAAAACCTGTAAAATCTCTCAAAACAATTTTATACAGGGTAAAACCTGTTAAATCTCTTATTAATTTCATTTGTTTTTCCTTGGGTCCTCTTACCTCCTATTCCAATTTAAACTTGTTGCTCCTTAAGGCTGCTGTTAACTATTATGCTAGAATCTCTCTTTTCATCATACTGGAAATTCTTTTTCTCTCTCTTCTGTGCTGGACCCACTAATTTAGCAATCTTGTAACTCCCATTTTCTTGCTTTACTCCCTCGTTTTGGTGGAGTGCATCCTCTAGTAGCTCCTAAGAAAGGTGCACAGGGGGTAAATTTTTGAGATTTTGCATCTGAAAAGTTACTATTTTATCTTGACTATTGGTTGATAGTTTGGCTGACTATATAAATCTAGGTTAAAAATAATTTTCACTAAGCACTTTGAAGACATCAGATTGTCTTCTGATTTTCACTCTTGGTATTGAGAACTCCAGTGTCATTCTGATTCCTGATCCTTTGATGCAACATGTTTTATCTCCCTTCTCAACCCCCTAAAGATCTTCTCTTTATTCCTGATGTTACGAAATTTCATGATAACATCAAGGTCATTAGGCTTTGGCTTTTTTCCCTGCATTAAACCGTGCCCTATGTCTAATGTTTTATTCAAGCAAAGTAACATTACTAAGTGACGAATATTTCGATTTGAATGAGTTTATCAGATTGTTTTCCTCCTTGTGCGAGAAACCAGGGCTTTATGAGAACCCTTGAAAAGAGAACAATGAATCAGAATGGAGAAATTCGTGCGTGGGATGCTAGTGACAAACTTCCTAATTTGATCTCAGGCTGATTGGGCAGGACTATCACTTTGTACCTTTATATTTTGGCACAAAATAAACTTCTGGAATAAAGTTTTGGTGCCTACATTCTTTCCTTTCATTATATTACCAATGTTTATTTTCAGTGAAATTCTATTGGCTACAAATGCATACTGCTGGAACACACATTTTGGATATTTTTGCCAAATGTGGCCTTATTTGATTAAACAAAGGAGAGCCTCTGGATTTCTCAGCAAGCCAAGAGGATCTTAAACTCCTTACACCTATTGTTTTCCATCATCCTAAACGTGGATGCCTGGCAGGGGGATGCTGGGCTGAAGGGGATGTGGTTAGGGTTGAAGCATTCCAGGATGGGGTCACACCAGGCAGCTTGTCAAAAAAGGTTACCTGAAGCTCACAGTGACTACAATTTTCTTTGTACCCCATTCTATACAAAATAAGAGTATTGTGTTTATGAACATCACATCAGACAGATTGTTCTATTGTCCATCTCTCGACTAACTCCAAGGGTTGAGATCATACACTATTGGAGGTACCACCTTCAATAACAATTCAATTACCGTCTGGTTTCTTGATCTCTGCATGTACCTGGCTTTTTGTTCAAAAGTGATGCTGCCATTTTGTCCTGAAAATGATGGCTTCTGAAGACAAATTTCTTAGGAAGCTAGTTTCGTGTCTTCTCAAGCACAGTAAATCTGGACTGATGATGATCAACTTAACAATAGCACAAGTTATTAAACTGAACAAATTCTAATATCACTGCTCCTGACCCACACTTGGTCCTCTTGGGATACAAGTTCCAAAAGGCCTAGATAAGGTCACTGAACCACAATAAATAATAAGTTTAAATTATCACTCATTCATCTATTATACATTTACTCATTCAGGTGCCAGTCTATACAGCAGGCAAGACCAATAGACTGAGTCGTCAGTGGTTTCAGCATTCTGGGCTGTGATGTCAACATAGACAACTGTCTGACAGGAGTTCCTATCCAATCCTGTCTTGCTTCTTTGGTGCTGGAGTCAGAAAACAGGACAGAAGCTTTTGGAGAGTGTCCCTTCTTCCCTTGTCCCCCCTCCACCTCTTCTCTTTCTCATTATTTGCATCAACTGTAACTAGAAACTTTATGTGACTGATGCTAACAGAGTGTGCCTTCAACTTATGGAAGGGACAATTCCCATTGCTGAAGGACACAAGAGGATGGAACAGGAACACAAACCAACTAGCACACAAATCCAAACCCTCGCAATGAGGATGGGCAGTTGTGGCAGTTACTCTTTTGCAACTGAATACTGCTGCTACAGCTATGCTCTTCCCCTTGGCTTCAGGTCCCTCTACCACACTTGTGTGTGTGTGTGTGTGTGTGTGTGTGTGTGTGTGTGTGATGTGGTGGAGGCTGAAGAGCAGGCTTCAGGCTTCAGTCATCTTGGGGAGTTGCTGTCAGTCAGCTCTAACAGAAGCCAACCCGAGAACACAAAGGGCAGCATAGTCTGGCCGGCTGAAAAACCAGAGGAATAGGTCAACTCAGAGATGGGCGTGTTTTTTTAAGAGCCCCAACCTTTGCTTTTGGCTGTAGGTAGATGCAGTCTCTTTCCCAGAAGGCTCTGTGCCTTTCAAAACAGAACACTGCTTTCAGCGACTTGCTGCCCTGTGGTTTTTTATTCATTTGTTTTACTAGTATTGATTTTTATACTCTACCTTCCACCCTCACTTATTGTCATAACCTTCCAAAGCTCCAGAAAACAGGCAGACTCTTGCAGAAATCCTAAAGACCATTAAGTGGAACATCTGAGAACGTGAGGAGAGAGACTTAGTGAAAAGCTCTAAAGGGACCTCAGTGTGTGCTAGGCAACTAAGTGTGGGTGCCTTGGTGGCAGCACATGTCATCTATTCATGATGGCTATTTCTATAGAGGGCATGTTAAGGCAGAGTGGTGAAGGGAGATCACTGAACTAAAACTCAGGAGACCAAAATGTTGCTTTCCGCTCTGCCAGTAGTTACTTCTGTTATCTGGGGCAACGTTTTTGGGCCTGAGCAACTGGAAGAATGGAGTTGTTAGTAACAAAAATGGAGGAGGACTATAGATGGAACAGGAGGATTTGGGGTGAAGATCAGGAGCTCAATTTTGGGTATGCTGAGTTTAATATCTGAATAGATAACAGAGAGTTGAATATATGCATCTGGAATTCAGAGGAGAGGTCTGAGCTGGAAATACAAATCTGAGAGTTATAGGCATAGATATGGTATTTAAAGCCATGAAACCAGAAGACATCACCAAGGGAATGAGTACAAATAGTGAAGAGTATCAGGGACTAAGCCCTGGGGCACTACAATGTTAAGAGGTCAGAGAGATGAAGAAGAATTCACATACTAGCCAAACAAAACATGTCTCCAAACTAAATTTGGTACGTGAACTAGAACAGAAGTTGGGAAATTTCACAGGAGTTCACAACTAGAAAAGGCCCCAGGGACCATCTAATTCAACCAAGAATGCTGTGAACTAGGAGACAGGAGATCTGGGTTTTAGTCCTAATTTTATGCCTAATTTCATGCCTAATTTTGACAGATCACTTAACTTCTCTGGGTCTAACTTTTCTGTCTATAAAGTAAGATAGTTAAATCAGATGACTTCCGAGGTTTGTAATTCTGTACCTTCGTTTTATAGATGAAGAAACTGATGCCCAGAGAGAGGGGATACATAACTTGCCCAAACATCCTGGCATTTAGAACAGACTACCTGGCCACTGTGCATTCTTCTGTGCTATTGGTTTTAAACCCTGTATGTATATTAGAATCCCTGGGAGGCTTTTAATACTACTGATTACTGGATTCCCAACCTAAAGTGTCTCATTCTGTTGGTCTGGGTTGGGCTAGGCATTGGTATTTTTGACACCTTTCAGATAATTCTAATGTGCAGCCAGGGTTGAAAACCCTGTGCTCTACATTAACAAGGCATGACAGTGTCTTGCTAGCCGCTACACCTCTCTGTACCTTGACTTTTATTTCCAACACGAAAATGATTCAGTCAATTTTAAACCCTTTTATTCAGATGAAAGTTGTCACAGGATGATAGTTTTCTAGACCTTGTGAAACCAAGGTAGCAAATACCAGCTTTCTCTGAAGCCTAGTAAAATGGCATGACCATAGCTTTCTGTAGTTTCATCTTAGAAGTGAAATGCCATGTAAAACCACGAAGCCATGGAGGGGTCAGGGGTGGTCAGGGTGGGAGATTGTTTGCTCTTCTTCCCTACCTTTTTGGAAAAGAAAAAGATACAAGGATTGTTCCAAGGTTAATGAGCAGTACATTAGGCATAGTACACAAATACCGTTGCTTTTACCATATTGATTTAGCAGCTGTAATCATGCTGTCCGTTGTAGCAGCCATACTGCTTTACAGTGGCTTCTCACCAAAGCTTTGTCACTCTGCACACCAACTAGATAGAGAGTTTCTTGATTAAAAACCACATTCTCCGTATACTACAATATTTGACTCTGTATTTGGGGGTATGTATGTGTCAGCATATGTGTCTACGTGTGTGCAGGTGTATGTTTAAAACTGAAATCTAGTGTTCACTTTCTCTGGGGAGCATTTGTCTGGAAGAGCATCCATTTTAAACTAAAATAGGGTACAGACACAGATGTGAAGACACAATATTTACAGTCTTGCATACACACCTACCACTCTAGTAGTACCAGCAAAATGATTTTACCATGCATAATGCACCAGTAATTAGCCTAGTAAATTTCCTTTGGGCTCCTCTTGTCTATTCCATACTTGTTTTTTAAGTGGCCTTTATAACTCGAAATCACTTTGTTAGTCTAGGAGCATAAAAATACATTGTGTATGACTTGGTTTGCTCATAAAATTGTCATATTTGATATATTTAAAAATGTGAAGGCCTGGGGGAGAATAACAGAAAAATTCAGGTGAGAAACCAAGCAAGTCCTCAGAAACAAATTTTTTTTTCCCCTCTGGGTCTTCATAGCTCTATCCACTCAGACGTGCAGCCCGTAATAATGAACACAGGCTTGGAATACACTCTGAGATTGCTCTAGGGTGACTAGGGCTCAAGATAATTGTAATTTTTAAAAATAGGTTTCCCCGTTGTTTGGAACCATCTACAATTCAATTTACTTTATCGCACAAGCCATGAATAATGCTATGAAAGAAAATGGACGGGCTAGTGCTGCCAGCCTGGTTCAGCATTCCAGAAGCATGCAGTTCTATGGATTCAACCAGTTGATAAGGACAGATTCAAGTGGAAATGGAATTTCCGAATATGTAATTCTGGACACCAACCGGAAAGAATGGGAACTTCATAGCACCTACACTGTGGACGTGGAAATGGAGCTGCTACGGTTTGGAGGGAACCCCATTCACTTCCCTGGTGGCAGGTCCCCTCGAGCAGATGCAAAATGCTGGTTTGCAGAAGGGAAGATCTGCCGAGGAGGTAAGGAATAGAAAATCACTGGTAGTCAATTTGGCGCAGCTTGGGTTACAAGGGAACCTCTTCAGGGGAAGGCATATTTTAATATTGAAACACTAATAAAATCAGTCATTTGCATTCAGGCAACATAAACTTCTTGGTACTCTATCCAGTTAATTTAAAATAGTAAGGACAACAAAAGGTACTTTGCAGCCTTGGATAATCGTCCACAATTTAAAAACCCTGACTCGTTTTTAAAACCAGCTCACTCTTTCCCAAAGAAGTTACTCTAATAAGAAGGCATCAGCCTTCTCTTTGGTCTTTTGTAGGCTTTAACCTGTGATTGTTTCCTCTGCTAGAAAGATCACCTGTCCTCCCCTTGATGTATCTAAATCCTGCCAGTCAGGTCCCCACAACCCACATTACTCCTCTCTGAACTCCCATTGAATTAAAAGTCTGTACCACACAGCTTAGCACAAAATTGCTTTTCTATTGTTTCTTGTGTATTGATTGTTTCCCCCCAAACAGACTGCTCCTTGAGGGCAGGGGCCACAGCCAATAATTCTTATGCCCCTCTCCTTCCCAACCACCCAACACAGTAGGCATCCAGTAAATACTTGCAGTTTGACTGACTGATGGAACTCCTCTAACTGGTGGAAGAGGGGAAACTTCATCAACTCTCTGAGAGCCAGAGGGGAACTTTGGAAGGACCCGTATTATTCCTATGCAAGCACACACCATACCCTTCAAAAGCAAAATGCATCTACTTGAAATAGGCTTTGATTTCTATTTTGCTCTAGCATGACATACCCAACTACTTCTTCACTCACGTCATCATATATTTCCCTCTGAAATCTTAGTAATCTATCCAAATATTTCAGTTTTCCAGAGGCCAATTTACATGCTGATGAAAACACTAATTATCAAAACTAGACTCACCTGTGAAAGACAAGGGTTATGTTTTTCATTCATAACTCACGAGGTTTATGGCTTGGGTGAATTAAAAAAGGTCTTTTATTTTATGAAGGCAACATAATACTTACACTTCACAGGTGAGATAACATATTTATTCTCAAGAACTCAATTGCCGTCCAACTTAAATTAAGGTACTCAAAGTTTTCCATTCGTGGACCTTGTCTTCCAAAGAAACACCCAGGTCAGCCTTAATTCATGGTGATTTGTTATTGTCAGAGTGGTGAGTGGTTTTTGCTTCAGAACAGTGAAATTGCTTTCTGTGTCCATAAAGTCAACAAGACAGACTGTGCTGGAGAAAAATGGAATTAGGTTAGGTAGATGTGGCTTGATTGTAGAGTCACCAGAAAGCATGAGGAGTCACTCTGTGGTGCCCTTTATTTACTGCCTCTCTCTGATAATTCCATTCTTCCTCTTGCTGTCTGCAGGCATTGACCCTGCCTTTGCCATGATGGTGTGCCTTGCTTTGCTTATAGCCCTGCTGTCTATTAATGGATTTGCTTACTTTATAAGGTACATTTTTTGTTCCTTTTGTATATAAAAAAAAATACTAGCCCATAATAGCCTTGTTAATATTGATTTCCAGGAAGTCATGTTTTAGTACAATTGCCTTATTACATGACCCACTGATTTTCTTTTTTCCATAGTGATTTACCATTCCTACCACCCCATTTAGAGTGAAGTGTTTTCATGATGCCAAGAATAACTTCCTTAGCTGTGCTGTCAGAATTGTTGCCCGTGAGTAGATCTGGCTCTCAACACAATGGTGAAATAAGAGAACTAGTACTTTAGGGCCTATCTATTCACTATCTGTGCTCCCTTTTCCATTGGCAGGGTCTGTATGACCACCTTGTTCCCCAGATGGCATGGACTTGTAGGTAATGGTGTCGAGCTATTAGTGAGTTCCAAGAATTAGGCAGACTTTGGCTAGAATCCTAACTCTAAGAATAATGGTACTAACCCACAAGACTGTAGCTGGGATTAAATAAACTAAAGTAAGTAAAGTACCTAGAACAGTACTAAATTATAGTAAACCAAAAGACCAAACCCAGTGCCATCAAGTCAATTCCGACTCATAGTGACGCTATAGGACAGAGTAGAACTGCCCTATAGGGTTTCCAAGGAGAAGCTGGCAGATTTGAACTGCCGACCTTTATGGTTAGCAGCCCTGTCTCTTAACCACTGCACCACCAGGGCTCCTAACTCATAGTGGGTACTCAGTGGTAAATCTCAACCGCTTCTCAGGCACACAAGACTCTCCTGCTAATTGCTGAAGGTCCAGGATCCTCACTTTGATACTCATGCCTTTTTCCCAGAGTATTACAGTCCATATTTTTACCGTCCTTCCTTGGGCGAAAGCTATCCTATTTAATCATCATCATCATCGTTATCATCCTGTCTTTTTCTTACTCCCTCAAGTCCCTTAATTGGTGATCAACTAATCTGATGAATTATTTCAGGATCAGGGGAAAATGGCTGAAGATGGCTTAACATGATACCCCTTTTTGGATAATCTTTGCATTTTAACAGCTGGACTTTCTGTATAATAAGATGAGTTGGAGAAAATGAAAAATGAAATCAATCACAACCCTCCCACTTTACCCCTTCCAACCTGCAAACCACATCTTTGTCACCTGTTTGTAAGGCTGGTCCTAACAACAATATGGCATGGACTAACAGGTAACGGAGTGGGGCCATTTGGGCAAGTTCCAAGGCAAAACGTCTAGATTATATAGCTGTGTGACCTTGGACAAGTCACTGAACCTCTCTTGGCTGCAATTTTCTCATTTGTGAAATGAAGTAATTGGATTAGATGAGCTTTAATAGCCCTTACAGCTCTAATATTTTAATGAGTTTGTGAGATTCTGGAATGAAACCGTAACAGGTGTTACTCTTAGTGTTTTAATACGTTAGCATCTCTGTGAAAAACCACTTCTATTCAATATCCCCAGGATTAGAAACTTGATAAAGTCACACAGCTTATGAATTGTTAAAACACATTTGATAACGACGTTAGTTCAAGGAAGTTTTCCTTTTAATTTCTGTGACTGCGACATATCACTGCTGAGAACAGAAATTGAATGTCTTTAATTTAGCTGCTGCCAAAGAATAAAGTATTTAATTAACATCATTATATACTTAGTAAAAATAAATGCCATCCAACCAAAAATCTTCTCCCTCCAGAGAGATTTGAGGATTAATAGGGTCTGTCTACCTAATGCCAAAACATCCCACAGAAAGAAGACAAATGGAGCCCCTCCAGTGTTGATGTTGCTTGTCAATCTCCCAAACGACTGGTCTCACTGATCCTTCCCAGTGAATGGACTGGTTCTTTAGGCATCAAGTGAGCCCAGTTTGCAATGCTCAGGAAGGGAAGGAAAAAAGAAGAAACAGTGGGGTCGGGGGAGGGTTTGTTTGGAGATTGTGGGCTGAAGGGCAAAGAAGACTGGAGGGAAAAAATGATTGGAGAGGAATATGATTAGAGAGGAAAACGATTGGAGAAGAAAATGAGTTTGAGACAATTGATACTTCAAGTGGTCACGAAAAACTCAGAGATGGGAGAGAGGCACATCATTTCCTGGAGTCGCTTGGTCCTCAGTTCTTCAGCTAACAAAGCACAAAAGATGCCCCCTTTTTGCTGCCTTTCTCCCTCTCTCTGCCCACCGTGGCTGCAATCAGAAGAGCTGAATGGCTGATGAGTTTCTGTAATAGACGGTGATTACTTTGCAGGAGAGTGACTCTCTGTTCCTTCCTTTTCTGTATGTTTTGATTGTTTAAACTTTTTTTCAGAAAGAAAGACGTGCAAAGAACGTAACCGCCCCAAAACAAAGGACTCTTTGAACTCCTCCTTTTTCCTTACTCCTCTGAACCAGATTGCATTTCCTTTCTATAAAGTTCTCCTGTGCTTTGTAATACTAATGATGATAATGATAATAATAAGCCCTTAGTCTTTCAAAAAGCTGCATGCTTTTCAGAGCACTTTCACATACATTATCTCATTTGATTTTCAAAACAACTCAATAAGGCGGATAATGCAAAAACTGTTATCCTGCTAGATAGATGAGGACACAGAGGCATGAAGAGGTTAAATTACTTATCCAAGGTCACATGGCTAATTAATGACAGAACCTGCACCGCACCCCAGGTCTCTGGATTGAGAGTCCAGTATTAGAGTGTATTCTGTAGCATGATTATTTTTACAGGTGTGCCTGCTTTAAGACAATTCATTACACATACGAAACAGATAAGTTAGGGAGTGATGCTTTACTTTGCCAAAAGATTCATGTGCTCTACCCAAGAATTCACTACAGGGCTCTTTTAATTCTCTCTGCAGGGCAGCAGCTCCCACAGTGATAAGGGACATATTTGTTGGCAGACAATTAGAAACACATTAATTGTTTGTTTACAAACCAGTGGAATCGCTGAGAAAACCTGACTCGGTTGCTGGTACTTAAAGCTACAGCGCCATTGTAGATTTCTCTTTAGAACAATTTGACAAAGCATTTTGATTCAGTGGTTGTTTTCCCCCCTCTGGCTTTAATACATTCCACAGGGTGACTATTATGGGATTATGGAAAAAGTGAAGCCAAACTGTAGCTGTCAGAGAGCCCCCTAAGACAAAATAGAACAAAATACCTACGCAGACTAATCCAAAGTTCCCTCCAGGTTCTCAAGTTGCCTGGTCAGCTCAACTGAGGCTACCTACCTGGCTGTGTGTATAGACATCATAATCTCCTATGTGTCTAGTAATTGATTTTCAGAAAATAATTATATTCCCTGCAAATTAATAGACATGTTTGGAGAGAATCAGGTTTAAACTGTGTCTATGTAATGCTCAAACAAGAGACCAATTCAGTAAAAGAAAAAAAAAATCAGTCAGCCCACTTGTTTGGAATCATGTAGACAAAGCAACCAACTGATTGAATTTTTCCACTTTTCAACCTGTTGCTTTGGCAACGCATAGATGCAACTTCCCAAGACAAGTGGTCTTGTGGGCTGAAATCTGGGCACACAGCCAGGGACCAAGGATTCAAGTCCCAGCTCTGCCTCAGGCTAGGGGATATCACTCAATTTACTTAATTTTGTTTTGTTTCTTTAATGTGTTTTTCGTCTGTAAAATGGAGATTAATGATTCATGGCCTTGGTATTGTTAGGATAAGTACTATGGCATATGAGAAAGTGGGTTGAGCTCTTCAAAAGAATTTAGAGGTACAATTTTGAAATTGCCCTCGATGTGGGATCACCATTTTATTAGTCTGAGATACCATCCCCCTGCAGTACCCTCATCCTTCCCTATTAATGCCTCTTCAAGCACATTCACATTTTTCTCTTTTGGTCTTTGTAACTCTGCAAGTTGTGGGGATCAGGGTTTCTGCTTCTCTTTGCTGTGGGAGTTACAGTAAAGATCCATGCATGGTTATCCTCCCAATTATCCTGGATATTCTTTAACGTTTATCTTAGGGAAAATCAACCCTGGGTTTGCAAATCATCCGGTCTCCTGTAACCCTATGATTTTATGTTTGTTTCGGGCATCATATAAATAAAATCCAGTTGCTTAAAGGACCCAATAGAATTCTACTGACTTTGGAGGATGTGACATTTATCAATCCCCATTTTGGCAGTAAGGTAAGGAACAGCCTTTTCTCTTGCTGCACTGTCCAGTGTGGTAGCCCCAAGCTACAAGTGACTATTGAGCATTTGACACGTGGCTAGATCCAATTGAGATGTATTGTAAGAGTAAAATACACAGTGGATTTCAAAGACTTAGTTTAAAACAGGTAAAATATTTGATCAATTTTAAATATTAGTAACACGTTGAAATGATAATATTTCAGATATATTGCGTTAAATAAAATATGTAATTAAAATTAATTACACCTCCTTTTTATGTTTTTAGCGTGACTACTGGAAGCTTAAAATTACATATGTGGCTCACATTACATTTCTATTGGATGTGCTGTCTTAGAACAGTTTTCTGAAAGTTAATGCAGGTCACTTTGGGCAATAGTTTAGTTTTGACTTCATATACCCCTTCTTTGTATGTTTGGACTCTCAACATTTGATAGTTCTTCAAGGGCGGGAATATATCTTTTTTTTAATTAATGTTGGCCCATAACACTTGACATGGTGCTTATAGTATAGTAAAAATAAATAAATACAACAATCAGTTGCTGTCGAGTCAATTCTAATTCATGGTAACCCCATGTGTGTCAGAGTGGAACTGCTGAGTCCCTGGCTGGGCAAACAGTTAACATGCTGGGCAGCTAGTCGAAAGGTTGATTGTTCAGGTCCACTCAGAGATGCCTTAGAAGAAAGGCCTAGCAATCTACTTCTGAAAAATCAGCCATTGAAAACCCTATGGAGCACAATTCTAGAGTATAGTGTTGCTGTTGTTAGGTGCCATCAAGTTGATTTCGACTCATAGCGACCCCGTGTGACAGAGTAGAACTACTCCATCGGGTTTCCTAGGCTGTAATCTTTACGGAAGCAGATCGCCAGGTATTTCTCCTGTGGAGCCTCTGGGTGGGTTCGAATTGCCAACCTTTTGGTTAGCTGTTGAGCACTTAACCTTTTCCCCCACCAGGGCTCCTTATGGTATAGTAAGTGCTTGTAAAAGCTTGGTGAATGAATCAACTAATGAAAGAGAGTTGAGTTTCATCAGGAGTTCTGTTCTGGTTATGATTGTGTTGTAATAGGTGATCTTCACTGAGTGCCTACTACTATGTCCTAGCCCTGGGCTAGGCTTTGTGAGGGATGGCCTGTAGTCTCTGCCTTCAATGGGATTTCGGTCAAGTTAGGGAGACAAATCATACTACGCAAGTGAGTAAGTAGGAGCCATATTGCACAACAGAAACTAGAAATATTGTAGGACATCAGAGGAGGCAGATCAGTGGAAGAAGGCTTTTCAGAGAGTATGGCATCAAAGCTGGGTCTTAAAGAAAGAAGGATAGGACTTGTCTAAGTCACAGGTCACAAACTGGTAACCACTTTGGTTTGACCCTCACAGTTAAAAAAAAATAGTGGCCAGAATTTAAAGATTGTAAGATTTCACACAAAAATCTAGATTTCTGACATTTCTTTAAAAGTTGAAAGATCTGTCAGCCTAGGGTTCCACTGTGGCAATTGGCTGAAACTCAGTAATAGTTGCCATTTTTGCAAGAGGCATGCTCTCTGCAGTTTGCCACAGTTTCAATCACTCTCTATTGTCTTATACTCAGCCTATTTAACCTATTTAATACTACCTGCCTGGCCTCCATAGGAATTTTAGGCAGAGAAAACAGCATAAACAGAAGCTTGGAGAAGAGGAAGAACGCCATGTGTGGGAAACAGTTTAGCCAAAGGTAGCTGGGAATAAGGGAATATGTCTCCCTATGCCAGTATCTGTGGCCATGACAGAGACATTAGTCTTTGCAAATTCCAGTATGGTGGTGGCGAGATGTAGGGAGAGGATGCAAACATATCATATTGCCCCCCGTGTGCCATTTACCTTTGCTACACCACAGAACCAGATCTGAGAATTAATTTTTATCTCTGTTACCAACTTGGTCATTTACCTAAATGTGACACTTTAAAGTATATTTTAACTAATTGGCTGGGTGAGAATGGATTTACTGTATTTTTACATTCCCCCCTCACCCCGGCGAGGTATTTTCCTAGTGCACTATGCTAATTTTTTTACAGCAACATGTAAGAAAAAATTGGCATAGCACACTTACAAAAATACCTGGGGTGGGGAGGGCACGGTTGGCAAACAAACGTAGATCACGTGCATTATATTCGTAAAAATATGGTACATGGCAATACCTTACACAATTGGAATGAAATAAAATGTTAATTTGTTTGGTTTAAAATGGTAATACCATGTACAATTGGAATCAAATAAAATGTTCATCTGTTTGGTTTAATTCTCAATTACAACTCTGCCTCTTGTTGAAATCATCAGATCATTTTATAAGGCTGATATCATGTTCCTGGAAATGTATTGTTAAAAGCTAAAACTATCACTGTAACTGAAAGCTACATTCTACCCTCGTGGCATAAAGGCTTATTGATATTAGTCTCCATTTTCTGAAGCCACCAGAGGACCTTAGGACTCATGGTGGTAGACTTTTTCTGGATGTGATATACCCAATATTCCCACCTCCAGCAAAAAGAGTAGACAGTGAGCTCTAAGCTCTGAAGCAATCCCAATACATAACCCAATACAAAGAAAAAAAGTATTCGATTCTATGACAAGTTATTTTATCTATAAACAGGTGAGCAGTAGTAAAAGCAGATGACTAGAAATCATTGTCAAAATGCAGTAAAAGATAGTAAAGTTTTGGTCAAAAGCAATAAACCAATTTTTAAAATCCCTACTTTTTGGTGAAACCCATATTAAAATGACAGTTCATGTCAACTGCTTAGATGTTTTGGATTTAAAGTATCAAAACAATAAATGTAACTAAATTTTGGACTGAATTAGCCCCCCCCCTTTTTGCTATAGGTCTTGTCGTCATAGTCTAGTGACATCTATAAAACCTCCCTCTAGGCCTTCTCTCTTTTGTACTGAGACATAAACCTGTATTTGGTGACTGAAACATAATCATTCTCACAAAATCATCATAAATAGCAGAGTAGTGCTACTTTCAAATGAACAAAGTGCCTGGGGTTTTAGAATCTTGATCTTGATGATAGATCTTTTCTTTCACTTGTGCATAAATTTTGACATAATGGGAGTAAAAAAACAATCACCACTTTTCACCATATGAGTGAGAAAAATGAACAGCAACAGGGATTGATAGACTTATTAGGAATGTTCTTTTTAGTTTTACGATTTTGGCCCAGGTGGAAAAGGATGGCATTACCCTAGAACATAGCTCCTGGCCTCCAGATCCCTTTTGGCATTTGGCCTGTATCAGGGATTCTGATGGGAAAAGATAGGGGAAGCATACATTTTCCTTAATTGCTGTGTAGTCACAAACTTGCAGCTGGCTGTGTCTAATCAGTCAAAAAGCCAAGCCAAGAATTCCATCCAAATGGAATGTCTGAAAGTGTAAACTCTTGGTGAATATAAAATTAATTCAGTCTAGAAAAATTGGCAGGTCAGGAAAAGTCAAGATAGGAAAGGAAGTTTTTAGAAGAAAGTGAAGCTGAAGCCCAAATGGATGTAGATTTTGGCAAATATTCTCGCTTTCTCCTTTGCCCTTTGTGGAGAGGTCTATATCTCAACATACAGATCTAGGTGCTCCTGCTGAGATATGAAAATAAAAAATGAAAGAGAAGTAGATTCCTCCCTGGACTTGCTCTGTTGGGGAGAGTTCAGGTTGAGGCAAGGGTTATGTGAAGAGTCAAGTTGTACATCTTGTCTGAATCTTGCACTGTTAAGATTTCAGCACACTGGGGGCTGGGTAGAGTTTACCATTGTCTTGGAAATTTGACTGTGATAGTCTTGGTGTAGAGTGCTTAACTCAGGGCTAAATCAGCTAGTAATCTTCAGCTGATCACGGATCATTAAGAACAGAGTGTTGGAAAATACTTGAGATTATTTTTTATTGGCAATCAAGAGTGAAATAAAGTGTGATGCGGTGGAAAGAGCACAGGATCAGGAAATGTAACACCTAGATTCTTTATTTCTTTATTTATTTTTTATTGTACTTCAGATAAAGGTTTATAGAACAAACTAGGTTCTCATTAAACAGTTAGTGCATACGTTGTTTTATGACATTGGTTACCAACCCCATGACAAGTCGGTACTCTCCCTTCTCGACCTTGGGTTCCCTATTACCAGCTTTCCTGTCCCCTTCTGCCTTCTAGTCCTTGCCCCTGGGATGGTGTGCCCCTTTAGTGTCTTTGTTTTATGGGCCTGTCTAATCTTTGGTTGAAGGGCGAACCTCAGGAGTGACTTCGTTACTGAGCTAAAAGGGTGTCCGGAGCCCATACTCTCAGGGTTTCTCCACTCTCTGTCAGGCCAGGAAGTCTGGTCTTTTTTTTTTTTTTTGAGTTAGAATTTTGTTCTACATTTTTTTCCAGCTCTATCTGGGACCCTCTATTGTGATCCCTGTCAGTGCAGCTCAGTGGTGGTAGCCAGGCACCATCTAGTTGTACTGGATTCAGTCTGGTGGAGGCTATGGTAGATATTGTCTGTTAGTCCTTTGGACTAATCTTTCCCTTGTATCTTTAGTTTTCTTCATTTTCCCTTGCTCCTGAAGGAGTGAGACCAGTGGAGTATCTTAGATGGCCACTCACAGGCTTTTAAGACCCCAGACACTACTCACCAAAGTAGAATGTAGAATTTTTTTTATAAGCTATGTTATGCCAATTGAGCTGGATACTTCCTGAAATCATGGTCCCCACAGCCCTCAGCCCAGTACTTTAGTCCCTAAGGGAGTTTGGATTTGTCCATGGAGCTTCCGTGATCTTACCCTGAACAAGTTGTGCTGGCTTCCCCAGTATTGTGTCCTGTCTTATCCGTCACCAAAATTACCACTTATCTATTGTTTATTTAGTGTTTTTCCACCCCCACCCCTCCCCTCCCTTGTAACCATCAAAGATTGTTTCTTTTTGTGCGTAAACCTTTTCATGAGTTTTTATAGTAGTGGTCTCATACAATGTTTGTCCTTTTGTGATTGACTTATTTCACTCAC